CATTCTATGAAAGAATTGAGCTCCCTTTTTCGCAAAAACTAAGCGTGTGATTTGCATTTAATCATTTGTGACGAGAGATCGTGACCGACATGCTGGAAAGTGAAGACAGCAAAATTATTGAACCAAATCAAAAAGATGAAAATAAACATTCGAAGAATTTATAAGGGTAGTTTTCTCCTTTGCAAACTTCGCGAGGGCCCCTTTAGCGACTCTTTGGATCAACTGGATCTGGAAGGGGCGAATCACTAGATCAACACGTTCCAAAAAAGTTGTGCATATTTTCCGGTTTTTTTAAGGTTTTATTCTTGTGTTCATACGAATAGAATTAGTGCGAGAAAGGGGGCGGATTTCTCTCATAAAACAAAATAACCTATTCACAATTGGTTTTATGAAAAAACTTCGCCCCCTTTCTCTCACTAATTCTATTCCTATGAACTCAAGCATAAAAGCCCTGTTACAACTATGCCAGGAAAAAGGAAGATCGCCAGGTTTGAATTTATTCAACGTTTTGCCGTCAAAAAAATTGAGCTCTTACCCTTGCATTCCATAAACTAAAAACACTTGGACTCAAAATGTTTGCATTTGTGTCAAATTCGAATTTGGCACAAATTCAAAAATTTTGAGTTCCACTCCAGGAATTCCTAATTTTTACAAATTTTAGTCCAGGTTATTTTAAATGGATCGGAATTTGATACCCAATAATTTTCCATTCTAAAAAATGCAGCTAGTCCAAATTACTTTTGTTTTTTTTAACGAATGAGTAAAGAGCTAACTTGAGTCAAACATTGAATAAATTCGAATTAGGCAGAAATTCAAAAATTGTGAGTTCAACTGCCGAAATTCATAATTTTTGCAAATTTCACTCCAGATTTTTAGTTCTTAGGGACAAACACTGCGCGTTAAATGAATCCGAATTTGAGTTCAATTTCTGGAATTCTTAACTTTTGTAAAATTTTTGAAAATTTAGAAAATCCATGTTTCTTTGGTTTTTAAGTAATGAATGTTTATCATCAGCTCAACTTTTTATGGGATTTTTAGGGATAAAATTTTGGCATAAATTCAAAAATGTTAAGTACAATTCCTGGAATTCTTAACTCTTGTCATTTTTGCAAATTCAGAAACCTGGGTCGGTTTTTTTTACTGAATAAATGTTCAACTTTTTTAGGGATTAAACACGTTCAATAAATTCGAATTTGCCACAAATTCAAAAATTTTACCACTCTCGGAATTTTTAATTGTTGAAAATTTCATTCCGGATTTTTTTGGTTTTTTAAATACAAGAATAAGAGCTAGATCCTTTTAGGGAGAAATATTGCACGTGAAATGAAC